TTTTTTTTTTTTTTTTTTTTTTGCTATAATTGAGAGAAATTAATTATAATAAATTAAAAAATAAAATAGTAGCAACAAGATTTAAATCTGAGCAGTTTGGTCTGGGTCTCCAAACTCTTAAATACTCTATTTCTACTATTAATTCTTCAAATAAAAAGTTGTTATTATTTTAATTATTTAACAACCCTACCGCCGTCCTACTTTTAAGGGTCGGCTAAGTTGTTTTGTTTTTGGTTTCTTTAAATTAATTAATTTATTTATAATTTACCATTTAACCCTACAAAATAATGATAGGTTAATTAATAAACATAAATAGATGTGTATTAAGTAAAAAAGAAATACGTAAAGATATTAAAATAAGCATATTTGTAGATCATATTAAATTAATGTAGTAGGGCATAAGTTTATAAATTGATAGCATGCAAATTCAAAACCTATTTTGGACATTGTCAACCCAGAGTCAGTGTCGTCTGAGAGCGACAGGGAACACCTACGGCCCACACCCCCACGAGTACTTCCAAACAAGCTATTGGAAGTCGGCCCATAAATGGGACTTTGGGCCTTCTCGTAAGCCCAATGTGGCCCAACTATTTACGCTCAAAACTTTGAAGAACCACGAATCGTTTAATTTAACGCTTGAAAAATCGTAAATTCTGACGAAGAAACTTCTGACTTCTGACATCCATTTTTTGGTGGGGATAAGGAAGGGGCCCCACATGATTTGCAAACTCAGGTAAAAGTGGTCCCCACCCCTTTTTCGCCGTTTCATTATCTCCATTTCAGATAAACATATGATTTTTTCTTTTTTTCTATGAGATTTCCGTGGAATTAAAATATATTTAAATTATGTCGTTGGAGGATGAAATTCTCTTAATTTAGAGAATGATCGTACGTTTATAAATAAAAAATATTCTTTTCATTGTATTAGATTTTTTTGAGAAGTTCAAATCAAGGTCACGAGAGCTTATGCTCAATTATTGTCCAGAGTCATATTCTTTGTGTTTACATCAATAGCACATTATTTCTTGAAAATATAATAACTGTGAAACTGTAAGCTTATAATTTTACTATAAAACAACGAAAAAGTTGTGGTTTATCGATTCTCACATCGAAAACGTTATCTTCAATCTTCTTTCCATGTTGGGCAAGAATTTATTTTCTAATTGAGCGCCACTCTACTTCGATTCAGCTACCATTCTGCAATTTCAACTGCAGCTACAATGGCGTCATTTTCCAAATTCGAGTACACAGATTGTAGAACACACAACTTTGATGCTCTGTACAGGCAAACCTACGATTTCTCCGCGAAGAAGCCTACAGCCCATCTGTGTATGTTTTAGTTCTCTACTTTAGGGTCACTCTCTATCTGGGCGCTCTGATTTTTGTTTCTATTTTCAAGTTTCATGAAGACACGGCTTAAATTTTTGCTTCTTTTTGTCTTTAGATATTAGGGGAAAATTATGTTCATCTCACAATGCAAGAAGTTTAGTAGCTCAGTGCAAGCTGCTTAAGCCGATCGTTTTTTCTGGCTCTCCTTCTGCAATCACCTCAAGGTATGATGTTAAACATGTGACTATTGCTTCATATTGTCTAGAATTCCCTTCATGAAAGTTCATTCCCCCTTATATTTAGATTTACTTGTTCTTCCTGATGCTTATTGGTTACGTTCATAGATTTAGTTAGATTGGAGACTGTACCTTATAATAAATACATATTGAACTATCAACACAGGAAGCTCCAAATTCTGTGCAAAGCTGCAAATGATGTCTCTGGAGATATCCCTGAGGGTAATTCTCCAAGTGGAGTGAGTCTGTACGAAAGAACTATTGAAACTTTAACCACACTTTTTCCTCTGTGGGTAATGCTTATTAGTTCTGTTTTTGTGAATCTGGATTTAGTGCATTTATGTTCTGGAGGTTTGCCTTTTAATTCCTGAGTTTGCCACCTATGAACAGGTTATCCTTGGAACCATTATCGGCATCTACAAACCTGCTGCAGTAATTGCTCATTCTTGGTTCTTCTTGATTGATGATTGGTGAATCTACTGGTACTCATCAGTCTCCCCTTGCAGGTAACTTGGTTGGAGACTGATCTTTTTACCCTGGGATTGGGTTTTCTTATGCTTTCGATGGGATTGACATTGACATTTGAGGATTTCAGGCGTTGTTTGAGAAATCCATGGACTGTAAGAGACATCCTTCTACTAACCAAATGGATGTACTTACGTAGTTGTGTTATTTAGCATCTATTTTCCTGGTGCAGGTTGGTGTAGGATTTCTTGCCCAGTACTTAATTAAACCTCTGCTTGGCTTTACTATCTCCATGGTAATAACTATGATGAAATGTTATAGCTCAATATCATGCTGAAATGATAGAACAGGCAAAGATAACAACCAATTTATGTGTGTTTCAGACTCTCAAACTGTCTGCACCTCTTGCAACTGGTCTTATTTTGGTCTCATGCTGCCCTGGGGGACAGGCATCCAATGTTGCTACTTATATATCTAAAGGAAATGTCGCACTTTCGGTTCTTATGACAACGTATGACCAGTTTGGATCAGAAGATGCTCCTGTCCTGTCCTCAGTTTGCAGAACAGTTTGATTTTTGTGTCTGCCTATGGTTGTCCCTACTAACTGGAATTTATACAGGTGTTCAACTATTGGTGCTATTGTCATGACGCCATTGCTTACCAAGCTTCTTGCTGGCCAACTAGTCCCAGTTGATGCTGCTGTAAGTTCAGATAAGCTAACCTTTCCAAATATACATTCGTTGAGGTTTGGATCATATTAGACTGATGATCTTTAGATTCATTCTTGGTAATAATAACTATGAGATCACACATCGGTTGGAGAGGAGAACAAAACATTCTTTATAAGAGTGTGGAAACCTCAGACGCATTTTAAAACCTCTAAGTTGAGGCAATACGTAACGGGCCAATGTAGACAATATCTACTAGTGGTGCTTGGGTTGTTACAAATGGTATCAGAGCCAGACACCGAGCAGTGCGACAGCGAGGATGCTGGGCTCCCAAAGGGGTGGATTGTGAGATCTCACATCGGTTGGAGAGGAGAATGAAACATTTCTTATAAGGGTGTGGAAATCTCTCCCTAAAAGACGCGTTTTAAAACTGTTAGACTGACAACAATACGTAATGAGCCAAAACAGACAATATCTGTTAGCGGTGGACTTGGGCGAAGGTTGTCATTATTTTGATCGTTATTCTTTCAGGGTCTTGCTATCAGCACTTTTCAGGTGGTCTTGGTTCCAACTGTAATTGGAGGTAAGTTCATAACAAAAATTCCCCTCAAGAAACAACATAAGTTAATCATCCTGAACCATCATTGCTCTTATCTGCAGTTTTAGCTAATGAATTCTTCCCCAAATTCACTGCAAAGATGATCACAGTGACACCTTTGATTGGAGTTATCCTCACAACTCTCCTGTGTGCCAGCCCTGTAAGTTTCAAAAGTATTAGGCAGTGTAAGAGATTGAGTTCACACTGTTTCATTGTAGTAATGTCCTTTCATCAATGTTTGTGATGTTGAAGATCGGGCAAGTAGCAGAAGTTTTGAAAACTCAAGGAGCGCAGCTATTGCTCCCAGTAGCCGTCCTCCATGGTGCTGCATTTGCTCTGGGTTATTGGCTTTCAAAAATATCATTTGGAGAATCCACCTCCCGCACGATTTCAATAGAATGTGGGATGCAGGTAACAATTGCAGAGAGTTTTTCTGGAAATGCTATTCTATGGTTTTGATTTGCAACATGTCATTATTTTGCAGAGCTCTGCGCTTGGATTTTTACTTGCTCAAAAGCATTTCACAAACCCCCTCGTCGCCGTTCCATCGGCAGTTAGCGTCGTTTGTATGGCGGTAAGAGTTTGCCCTCTTTTTATCTTCTCTGATCCTTGTTTTCTGATCCATTTGTTAAGAAACTTGTGTTCGAACATTTATGATGCTCATTTGCTACCATATCAACAGCTTGGTGGCAGTGCTCTTGCAGTCTTCTGGAGGAACATGCCAATTCCGGCCGACGACAAAGATGATTTCCAAGAATGAAAAAGGAAGAAGAAGTAGTTCAAGTTCTAGATATTTGCTAGCTTACTTCTATCGATTTGTTTGAATATGATGGCAAAGTTTTTGGATTTGATCAGTGCCATGGCCCATTTATTTGTGTTGAGAGTTGTAATAATAAACTTTCGATCTTGGAATGCTTTAACAATCCTTCCATTTTTCCTTGAATTCTCTGGAAAAGAATCTGTTCATCTCTATCGAATACAGTGTTCGATGAGATTGAAATGGGGAGAAGAAATGCGTGAAGAAATCAGACCAGATACGTGAAATTGTTATGAACTTTCTCTGTTTTATTACTGGGTTCCCTCTCGCAATTTAAGCCCTAGTTATCCTTTCGAAATTCTCTGCATCAAATCGCCGCCTCCTTCCGCCGCTCATTCTCTCTCGCCCGTCTGATTAAAATGCCGACGATCGAAAGCTTGCTCAATCCATCCGCCTTCAACCTATTTTCCTCCAAATCCTTGTTCAATCCTTCCATTTCCAGTTCCTCCATTTTCTCGCCCGCTCCGCGATTGCGCAGATTAAGTTCTTCTTCGTCGCTGTCGATTAGGTGCTCGGCAACTCAGCAAATGGAGGCTGTGGTTGATTCTGTAAGTCCAGAGCAGTTCCGAGTAGATGTTCTCTCGGAATCACTGCCATTCATACAGAAATTTCGAGGTAAAACGATTGTTGTGAAGTACGGTGGGGCCGCCATGAAATCGCGGTCGCTCCAGGCTTCGGTTGTTAATGATCTTGTACTTCTGTCCTGCGTCGGCCTTCGTCCGATCTTGGTCCATGGCGGCGGGCCGGAAATCAACAACTGGCTCAAACGGCTCAACATTGAGGTCGTTTTCCGCGACGGTCTCCGTGTGACCGACGCCGAAACGATGAAAATAGTGTCGATGGTGTTGGTCGGCGACGTGAATAAGAACCTGGTGTCGTTGATCAATAAGGCCGGAGCATCGGCTGCAGGGCTCTGCGGTGTGGATGGGCGGCTACTGACGGCTCGTCCAGCCCCTAACGCGGCACAGTTAGGATTTGTAGGCGAGGTCGCACGTGTGGATCCTACGGTTCTACAGGCACTTCTGGACAAAGGCCACATTCCGGCGGTTTCTTCGGTGGCTGCCGATGAGTCGGGGCAGATGTACAATATCAACGCGGACACAGTTGCCGGAGAATTAGCGGCGGCGCTGGGAGCGGAGAAGCTGATCTTACTGACGGATGTGGCGGGGATTCTGGAAGACCGTGACGATCCGAAAAGCTTAGTGAAGCAGATAGACATAAAAGGAGTGAAGAAGATGATGGAAGAGGGAAGAATCGGCGGAGGGATGATTCCAAAGGTGAATTGTTGTGTCCGATCGTTGGCTCAAGGGGTGAGGACGGCGAGTATCATTGACGGGAGGCTGGAGCATTCGTTGCTGCTAGAGATCATGACTGACAATGGAGCCGGAACCATGATTATAGGCTAAGCTCAGAGTTATGAAGCTTTGAACTCCTTGAATTTTCTAGGAAATGTATACAGTTCATCAATGGTGATGATATCTGATCTGGGAAAACATATTTGGATGAATGTTTTTCAAATGCTGATAGCAGACCAACTTGTGGATAGTGTTCTTGTAGGAGGCAATTTGATGTTGTGGAAGAGTAAGAAACAAAGTGTGGTTTCATGTTCAAGTATTGAGTCATAATAGAGTTATGACACAATTTGTGTGTGAAATAGTGTATATACATCAACTTCTGATTGAGATAGGTTTTGATATTACTATGCCGTGATGTTACAATCAACTTGCACTTCACATTGTGTGTAATCGAGTGTTTCATGAGTGAATTGTGAGATCCCACATCGATTGGAGAAAGGATCGAGTGCTAGCGAAGACGTTGGACCCTGGAGGAGAGTGGATTGTGAGATTCCATAGTTGCGAACGGAGAGTGTGTTCACGAGTATTGAAACACATTTCATACCCATGTTCTTCATCCCACCAATACTATTCTTTTGATCATTGCCTCTCATGAGGCTAGTCTCAGCTATTCCAAGTTCCTTCACATGCTATTATTTAATGTTTCTGTGTTTAAGTTCTATGATTTATATGTATTGTTATGTTCTAAATGGAATTGTTGGTTTCCAGTCGCTGGAGCTTTGGGACATGACAGAAAACAAGAGAAGGACACTGCTTGCTCGTGACAAGCTGGTATCAGCATTGGCTGCATCAAATGATAGCCGTGTCAAACTCTGGCAGTAACGAATTCAACGAGCTCTCTTCTCCAACCAAAATGGTACGCTAAAATTGTCTGTTGTTGATTTAGTCGATGACCTGAGTTCTTATTATTACTTAGCCGATAAGAGGAAGAGTTTGAACATGACAATGACCCATTAGTATTTGATCACTCCACCTGTGATCAAGTTAACAACTATACAACATCTTAAGTCCTAATAGCATTCAAGCAAGCCCATAACTACGATCATATTCTCAACCCAACTTCAACGAATTACAAATGAAAAAACTGGCCATCCAAAGCCTTCATCTTCCTCCTTTCTATGGGGCTCTGGGAGCTGCATAAAAGTGAACAACAAACTCAGAAGTTAATAATGGCATGTCCCTTTGTTAATTTGGATAATAAAAATGGAACAAATGAATAATAAAAATGGAACAAATGAAGGGAAGAAAACCTATGCCATTGCCATTGCCATCTGAGCCTTTCATCAAACGAATACGTTTGCAAGATTCAATGAACAATCTGCACAATTTGCAACTCGATTACAATCCAAACTAAAAAAAGAAGAGTTATGGGGAACATAATTAATTAAACTTACTTCCAAGGGACGTCTCCGACTAGCATCCAATCCCCATCTTTATCTTCGTAGGTTGGTAAGTATTCATATGCTCTCTTGACAGGGTTTAAATTGTTGCCTTCGTTCACGTAATCAACTAAAATATTGTTCAATATCAATAAGTATAGTTGGATGAATAAGACATTAAAGTATATAGACTCACAGCATATTGGATAGGAGGGGAACAATTCCTGGAATGCCTTGAACAGTTGGTGATAGCCATTGAACATCTGAAGGTCGAGCTTACGCAAATACGGTGCCCCATCTGCAGCAACTTTAACGTACTTGTAGTTCATTTCTGTTGTCTTTTTTCGGTATGATCTCACCGGCGGCCAACCCATGGCTGCCGGCTTTTTCCCTTAAAATTCAAAACATTCCATATATTATCAACATATAAGAGCGTAATAAGGAACCATTAACATTAAAAATAGATGGACGTAAAAGAAATTCAATTACTTGTGGAGTTCCCGGCTCCGGCATCATCAGCCTCATGGAAAGCACGTCTATTAGCATTAGGTTTGTGATACACTTTATTTGGCTGAGTTGGGCGGAACTCGGCTCCGGGAAGCCCCAAGGTGAGCTCAGTTTCATCGAAATTGATATGGGTCAAATCAGATTCCGGCGACTCTGGAACTGTCTCCGCCGACGACATAGCTACACACTCTGTTGTCTGTCTTTGTCTCCGTTTGGTAGTGAATAATGAATGAACCACGAATGGGTTTCATATATATAGAAGCAAAGGAGCAAGTGAGAAGACGACACGTGGGGGCATGGCCAGAGTTGCCATGAGAGAAGCAGAATTGAAATTAGGGAGGTGATTGTCGGTACATTCAATCTAAATGCCCTTTATCCCTTTACGTAAATTTCACAGCAAAATTAATTGGTATTGTCTATGCTTTTCTCATCTCAACTTAGGAAATTATTTCTAAGTTGTTGTCGCATTCTTCAATCTTTCAACTTAGGAAATTATTATTATTATTATTATAATATAATGTTTCAACTTTTTTTCCTAAAGTTTTTGGTGTTCTTGCATCTTTCAATCACATTTTGAGATTGAGACAAGGGGAAGGCACTATGGGAATACGATAAGACCAATTTGACGGAAGTGGATGAGGTGGCACAAAAGTAACTAGGTGGGTCCCACAGAGTGTTACTAGAAAAAAGTCAATGGACAAAGTGATTGACTATGGAAGGTCTTTCGGGAGACAGAAACATCGGGAAGCTTTTCACTTTGTCGACACCTTGTCCAACCATCATTCTTATCCTATTCCTTTTATTATCATTATTTTCATTAAATTATACAAACTTAGTTTATAATAATTTTTTAAAAAATAAATTTTGTTTCTGTTAAAATTAGTTTTAAATGTGTTCCTTAAATGTCTTAAATTTGTATCTAAACTAAGTAAAGTATATTAGAATAAAGTTGTAATGGGTCATCTCACGTCCCAATAATCAATACATAACCATAATTATGTGGAAGACAACTTTTAATTTCATGATGTTTGGCATATGTCTCAAATTGAATGAAGTTTGTGACAAAATACATTGCATTTAGTATTACATTTTTGTTGTAGTTGCTACGAAGCTTCATTGAATGTGCTTGCATTTTCACACACACAATTAATTACTTGATTAATTTAGTATAATCACGCAGTTCATGTACTTGGTTTTGCTGATCAACCACTTTACCTTGCCGAAATTATAAGAAATATATATCTCTAAGGTTTGGTATTTGTTTCCAAATGTCTATATTATTTCAAAGGTTTCAATGTTGAGTTTAACTGTCATTCATTTAGATAAGTTGAACTAAAATAGCGAGACATTCTTGCATTACTCGAAACCAGTTTCTATGTTCTCTATTATTAGTCACTCATTTAGATAAGGTTAGTTTACGTTATTTGCTTTCCAAAAACAAGAGAAAGACCAAGGTAGGGCCATCACAGAACGTGGAGGCGGCAACCTGTAGTTGGTTGGTCCAGCTAAGTAGCCGGGCTGCAAAATATGACCAATACAACGAAAACTCGTCACATCATGCTACAGAAACTTTCTTTCTCAATTATAAGCCAGGCTGGCAAAGAAGGATTAAGGATCAATCAGTACAAAATAAAATGAATTAACAATTGAAAATAAGGTAGACATTTCACAGTTTAAGTCTGATTAAATGATGGCAATCACCAATAAGTAAAACGCAGGTACAGTCAGCAGAGCTGAACCTAAGAGCAAAACATTAAATAGATGATGTGTTAAAGTATATTTTACCTTTCCGTTGGGACAATTGAGAGAATGGGGACAATAAAAGAATGAATAATTACAATGAGACGGACTGGCATGATTTTTGGTCTTTTTCCTTCCATGGAAACAGATGGTTTAGGGAAGGGCCGGAAACATATATATATATATATATATATAGATATAGATATATCTTATATTTATATGGGGATTTCTCAAATCCGAGAAGAAAAAACGGAAGCAGGACTCTACAACACAAGCAGTGAATGCACAAGGTGGTGGGCCACAACCAGAGACGACTCCAGCTACGAGGTAGCTTCTCCGATTGAATTTCTTTTTTTTAAGTATTTCCGGCTGGAATCTGACCCACCATCCCGAAGTTTGTCGCATGTTTGGGCCTCCACTCAGTCCTTCCTCTAACAATCTCAGCTCCATTTTCAAGTCGAAGCAAGTGGTGGCACTCAATGTCACCAGCATCGGCCAAATTGCTGATACCAGCACCAGACACAGCAGTAAGGGATTGCAGCACGCTGTCCCTTCCACATTCTCTCCTGTATTCCAAAGTCATGGTAGAGAGTTCGTGACTCTCCAGGATTGGCAGAGGTGCACTCTGTGTGTACCAAATCTTTTGGTCAGAGACATGTTCGGATAAAGGAGAAACCAAGAGTCATTTTGAAAAGAGAAACTACCTCGAGTACCCAGCCAATGTACTTCACGTTATTAACATGCTGGTTGACATCTAAATCGCTCCATCTAGGCTGCAATTCGAAATACATGTCACTCACAAGAATGAAACGAGGAAGCCTACTAGTAAATATATTTAACCAAAAGGGAGTATAACTTACCGTCAAACCTGTACGTATGTAATCAGCACTATCATCATCAAGTTTGGTAAGTTTCCTGCCATCTTCTTCCACTATGGGAGGTGAATTTGCAAAATAAGGCTCTATTTCCCCTCTAACTTCCCCAGGAATCTTTGATAATTTTCTTGTCTGCTTATTCATCATCACCCAGACACTGTCATTGGACAGGAAAAGAAAAACAATCCCACACAGTTATTAGAAAGGCAGTTATGATCAAGCGGTGGAATAATAATCAGGGGAATTGAGGAGAGGGAAAGAAAAAACACGGATTACTTGCTGGCAGCGGAAACCTATACCTTGAGGCCCTAGTAAGAGTTTCACCAGTTTTGCAATCACGAACAAGCCAATCTCGTCGCATGCCATTCTTCCCAGATGCACCGACCCAAGTGTCTACTTGAACAACATCACCCCTGACAAAAAGGGGGGGAAAATGATTCAGTCCTCGAGAACTTTAACCTATAAATAATTCGCAAGAACTATTTTTAATTACACATATAGTACTATAACCATGAGAGGTGAAGTTTTCCAGATATCAGAACACATTTCTAATGAAAATTACAGAAGCACTTTTAAAATAGACAACCTAAAAGACATAACTAGCTGTTGTCTACATTTCCTGAAAATATGAAAATCCATAGAAGTCAAACATCTAAATCATTCATCCTAAATGATCAATGGAAAGATAATGCTACTGTAAAAATGAATAAATGTTAGCAGCTGCAAATTATTTTGCTTTTCTAGAATATATATATACACATATATAAAAGAAACATACGGCAACTTACCAAGTAGGGTATCTATCGACCACAACCTGCATCTTTGCAACTACCCATATCAAGTTTTTTTTACACATTTCTGGTGTAGAACCAAATCCATCACCAAGTAGTCCAGCAGTTTTTACATGATTAAGTGCAGTTTCCTGTATAAAGAACAAGATATCATCTCACTGTTTCCAAATAATGAAGATATAGAAGAATTAACAACCTATAGTGCATTTGACCGGCAAGAGCAACCAAATTTTTTAAAATTTACCACAGATAAACAGCATAAGAATTAATATCCAACAAGAAAGAAACAGAATGATCAATCATGTACCTGCAAATGATTCATTAATGTTTCTATAGATGCAGTCCGATCTGCACCAATTTCATATGATCTAATTGAAAAGTTCTGCCGAAACACGAGACCATCCTGCACAATTCTTCCCAAACCAAACGAATCGATAAGCATGTCAGGCCGCCTAGGTTTCCAGTCGAGCATCATCCACTGCTTCTCAGCCGCCAGGAAAATGGTAGTGATAGCAGCAAGAAGCATGCTCCAGTCAGGAAGTACGTTTATGAAAGTCCTTGGAGGAGGTGATGTCAAGTCATCGTCCAGCTTGACACCCTCCAATCCAACGGAAGTACCATTTATCTTTGAAGGAGCTTGGGCATTAGCCTTAACTTGCAAACCACGGGAAGAAGATTTCGGCCTGCTTCCTCCAGGATTGACAGAACCACTGCCGAACTTAGTTGACTTTGATCCAGCGTCCGAGGACAGAGAAATGGCAGGAAAAAAGGCAGAAGTAGCTGCAGTGGCAACCATGTCGAACTTTCTACCAGAAAACGGTTGTAATATGCCAACCAGAGACTCGTTCCAACGAATTTCCCTCTATCAACAGAAGCCTAAGTACATGAAAGAAGGCTGAGTTCTTGGGGAAACATACATTAGCAACCTATACGCAACTACATGGAATTTAGTATCCATTCATTAAGAAAACTTCATGAAGTTGATATAGGAATCATCAATATTTGGTCATACATGTAATTAACGAACTTCCTCTTTCTCTAGAAGCATAAAAATATACATTAAACTCGTGTACAATAATTACGAAAGTGAACAAAATCGTGTACGAGGTAAGATTCAGTGAATAATCACAGAAGGAAAAGAGAGGAGTGTCCACAGAAGTGAACCCATAGACATCAAAAGATTGGACCTAAAACGAACTAGAAAGTCATTTAAAAACAGAGATTCGCGGAACCGGAATATAAAACATGAATCTACGCGATAAATTCAAATAGACAATTTGTAAAACTTTGTCAAAAAAAAAAAAAAAAAAAAAGTCCGTGAAGCATAGCAAGATTGAGCGAAACAAAAAACTAATCCAAGATCATCAAGAGACACTGCGAGTATTTTCACGCATAACATACAAAGACAAGAAAGAAAAAAAGAGCAGAAAGAGAGAAAATGACAACAAGTTATTTAAGAAAAAATCGCACCAAGAATCAATGAATGCATGAGCTGAAAAGAGAACCATCCACTTGCACGCTTATAGCGAGATCAGAAGAAACCTTTCATAAATCTACAGTAGAAGAGAAAACAGATCTCGTCCCAAACGTAGAACCACAGAGCTAAATAAACACAAGATCAGAAACGGAAATCAAAATAAGCATCCAATAAAACCATAGAAAAACTATAAACCAGGAATAACGCAAAATTCCGTCGAGCGAAATAAACCGTACGTAACAGCAATAATAAAATAGACGTCCAGACTTCAAAAAACACGCTCCGTGGCCCAGAAAACAAAGAAGGATAAACAAAACAACTAAAACAAAACCTTCAAATACAGATCTCAAACGATTAATTCGTCAAACACTAAACACGGCAAAAGCAGCCTAGCTCCGTCATTCTCTCAACTTCCAGATCAGACAAGAAACAGATAAAAACCAAAAGAGAAGAAAACTACGGCACCCGTACCTTGACCGTCGGAAGAAAAGAGAAGCAAAAGGATGTCAAAAATCCTCTGGCGAAAAGACGACAAGGAAAAAGGAGTAATGCAGGAAGTGGGAATGCAGATCCCTCCTTATTCGCCGCGGATCGTAGGGTTTGCTGTAGTTGGATTTGATGATTCTTTGTGTTCGGCGTTCGGAAATTTATTGAGTTAGTTGTTTTTATTTAGCTCGTTTCAAAATGGAAAATAAAGAACGAAAGAAAAAGGGAAATTATGGAGAAGGAGAGAGGGCGGAGGGTTGAGGCCAACTGTGGGTGTTAGTGGTGAGGAATTGATTTTGGAGCCTCCAAAATAAATAAGACACACTTCTACCCTCGATTCCCACTTCTAATACCGCAATTACGATTTTGCCCTACTCCGCATTTTCATTTCTCTGCTTTCTTTCAAACCAGTCCCTTCCAGAATCATCCTCTTCTTTTCTTAATTTTAAATTAAATTACGAAATTAGTCCTCTGTTTTTAATAATTGTATTTGTTTTTCCCCTAAATATTTAAAAAAAGTATTTTTTTATTTATGTTGTTTCAGTAAGTCTTTGAATTTGTTACTTGAATGTATGATGTTGAGTAGACTAGGT